GTATTCGGAGTTGGGGATGTTTTCACCGGAGTCATAATTTCAAACTCCCCCTGATTCGTGATGAGGAGTCGAAAGTCCAATGTTGTCATACATATGACATCATAATGTACGTATATTCGTTACAGATTTACCGGGTATGTGTATTGCATCTATTGTTTGCCGCAAAATGTGCAGTTGAAGCAAAACCTTTCAAAACTTTTTTGTTGACGTAAAATGCCACAATGACCTTTCAGTTTCGACAAGTTGTCATTCACCTATTCCCATCAGGTAAATTTTCCAACTAAACTACCTGACTGGATAGTAAATCCCCAGATAGTAAGTCACGTACGTTTTAGTATGTATAGAGACTACTTTATTCAATCTTAAATGGATGTTATAGGTTGTATTACCGATTTTCTAATGTGCGCATATATATTATAGTAATAATAAAGAATTAAAAAATAGTAATACTGCAAATACAAAGCGAAATTCATCGCCGGGAACGACAAAACTCCTGCACGGAAAAGGATTCCTTTAAATTGAGACCACATCTTTGCGTGAAGTATTAATAATAGCCAAGAAAATAACGTATCTTTCCATAACCCTATGTACACATATCAAATCCAGAATGCGTGCAAAGGAAGTATATTAAAGTCAAACTATAGTATATATTGAATCCCTTCTGACCGCGAACGGACATGGAGGCGCCAAGGATTTGTTAAATAAAGAAAATTTTTTGGTGGGAATAGTTAATTGACGGTGGATTTTAAGAGGTGAAACAGGCGCTCACGCTCGAGTAATATCGCAGGTTATTTGAGATAAGATAAAAACGGTTAACTAATATTTCGTAGGTAATGGTTAGGATCTCCATTTTCGGATTTTGTAAATTGTCTGACCGGTTGACGGGATTATCGTGGACACCGGTTAAGGGTATTTTTATGAGTACCGATTAACTGTATTTTCGTGAGTACCGGTTATTTTGTAAAGTTTAAAAACATTTCGTGTTTCATAACTCTGCTAAAATCGTCGAACATACTAATAACCCGTCCAACGGTTAAAGATTTTTAAAATACAGACCATTAAAAAGAAACTCAACATTTCATTACAAAAAAAATCGTGAACTGCGTGAACTCTTTTGAAGCTTAGTGATTACAATAGTCAATAGTTAATTATTGACAGGGTCAAGTTCCAGTGAAAGTCTGGTTTCGATCGTCAATGAAAGCGTTTTTCACCAAACTTTTAGAAATAAAAGAAATAGTATTCTTGCATCACAACTTTCCAATTTATATTCTGTACCTTTTCTTCTGACAAGGGCTTGACTGTAGTCATCCCATGATATGACTAAACTTAACAATACAAAATAATCTCATAAATCACCTTTCATATCAATCGGCCTAATCTTCCCTGTACTATTGTATATGTACTATACAAAATATCCTAAAAATCATTACTCTCGGAAGATAACGGTCCCAATAAAATGCAGAAGAAATAAACAAACTGATCAAACGCACCGCGACTACACTATAATTTTGTTACAAAAATTTATCTGACCAGCTGTATAGGCAGCAAAGTGTACAATCTTTTCGCGTATTTACATATTAGCTAGGACATCATTAAACGTATATTTGCGAAGAGAAGGCAAACATCGCCGCGGTGCGTTCGGGAGCATAGATTTATTTACTTTGCGAAATTTGTAGAACGCGGTAGAGCGTGACGACGTGACCCTTCAATGAACTGCGCGTGTCCTTTGTTTGACCTTTCCGCGAGAAGACGACGCGCGCGACATCCGAGTACCTAAAGAGGTAGATAGTCGCCCTGTCGGTGACGGCACTTATAATTTCTAGCATTTCTACTCGCAAGAGTGGTTTATGATGTATCAAACTAAGTAACGAGTCACATACATAGCTCGCAACTAAGAAACCAATTAAGCAATACCTGCTAGTACCCAAACTATTCATTCGTGCGGCGCCAAAATAACAGGAAAAAAAACACGGCACTCTCAGCAAATCGCACTGTGCTAGAGTATTCTTGTATTTCTTGCTTCGCAAAAGAATGCTCATTTCAGAAATATGCATAAATGCGAAACGTTCATACAAATTCACAAAACCGTATATCTTCCACGAAAAGGTAGTCTCGCTACACACTCAGTACTAACATGAATATATTTCTGTTATGCTAATGCCAGGCACCTCTCTAAGTAAACAAGCTTTACCTTGGTCTGACAAAGCGTTACAAAAATACACACGTGTTAATGTGTAGCCACTAGCAAGACTGTCGAGTCATGTATACTTTATTACAACACCCTTGACAGATTGTCATGCCTGTACTACTTCGTTTAAGCCTTCGTGTCCGTATCATAGAGGGAAGGTAAAGTTAGTCATGAAGAAACCCAAGGTATTAAAAATATGCCATCAATTAAGTTTACGTGGAACTAACCACTGATCATTTTTTATGCATTCCTGCTGATGGATTGAATGCATTCCTGCTGATGGATTGAATGCGTTCAATGCAGCAAGAATGGAGTTAAAAATATCAAGTAAATATAAAATCTTGTTATGTTGGTCTGTGGTAGTCTGACTTCGTTCAAACGAAACATTACCGGAATAGCAACCTCTTGAATCGCTGATAAAAACATGGCTTCCAAATACTGTTTTACTACGAAATTCTTTTGCCAACTTTGTTTATCAAACTCCCATACAGAGAAGTCATGTAGAGTCATCAATCACCATGCAAACGCATTTAACAACACATATTTTAGCGGGTCACGATCCATCTCAGAGACTGAAATTACACGCGCTAGGTTGTGTAGTTTATCTTTCTCAAGGTTGCAATACAGCCTGAGGCGTAGTTGACCTTTATATGACCTTTAGGAGTCGATCATAAAATACGATCGGCCATAGATAATTTACAAAGCATAACTTATGCAAGGCTGATTCAATAGAACGCATAACAACAATTACTTGATAAGAATCTACATGCGAATTGGCCTATTGGGATAAATAACGGGATTAGAAGCCGCATTGTCGTCTGCGATACGTCGTTCAAAAAGACAATCGAGGAAATACGAATTGAACTTAAAAATGTTACCAAAATAAGAAGAACTAACTTTAGCAAAAAGAATCTTCCGGTATTGGAATATAGAAAGTTGAAATAAAATACGACAGCTCACAGAATATCGAAAATTTACGACCAGCCCAAATTTGAGATTGGATCTGATGCAGGAATGTTCAAAATATTAGATTCGATATTTCAAATTATTATTTTCAGAAATAATATGGAATGGTTTAGTTTAAAAAAATTATTATTTCAAGCAATTAGCAAGTTGCATAGGTATGATCAAAAATTGCGTTTTTAATTCCTGAGAAACTACAAACAATCGCTGCTTATCTTAAATCAAACTCATTAAATATATATCGAGTTCTGTGTGTTCTGTATTAAAAATGACATATTTGAAATTATTTTCAGAATGTATTCGGAACAGTAAAATGTTCGAATTTGAGCATCTCTGGTATGATATGAACGTTAAATGGCAAATTTGAGTCAAAACATGGATATTTCAAAATTAATTTCCCTATAAATATGTATTTTTTTAAGGTTCTAAGAAAAAAATAACGTATTCATAAAATTTAGTGTTAAATACAACTTTTTTGTTTACTGATTTAAAAAAAAATTTGAAAAAATTCCAAATGTAATTAATTAACTTGAAGCTATTTAACAAGAAATTTTAAATATTTTTGCTGCGTGATCTGATGTGAAATGTCATAGCATATGTTTAAAATTATCGGGGCACCAACTTCCAAGCATGGACAGCGCATGAAAACGTGTTATATCCTACAACCCATGCTTGTACAGAGATAAACACACCCTGAGGGAAAGTGTCTAAAAATAAGCATTATTGATTGTTCCTAAAATTCGTCAAATGTTTTCCATAATCGGAAAGGCAGCGTTGTCTCGCCCCGTCAAACACCCATAAACATAGCTTGATGATCAGATCGTGAACGGCTAATCTAAATTCAGAGAGAAATGTCAGAAAGAAAAGAAAAGTTCTACCCTACACTCTAAATGAAAAAAGTGGTAATTCCCACCGAAATATTTGGTTCACAAGGTTTTCTACTTCTTCCACCCTTTGGGTAGGTGTTTAACATTTCCACCCTAACAACCCCACCCAAATCGATAGGAAAATAAACCTTCTTGCAAGCCTGGAAACGTACTATAACCACCCAAAGGGAGCATGTAACCACGACAGGTTTTCATGATTTAAACAATTTATTAAAACAGTAAATATTCGGCGAAATTGACTACTAAAGGTCGCAAATAAATACAGTCGTAATGAGAAAGTCAAGTTACGCCTTTTTTGTTTTTTGAATGAGAATTCTTTATTTGGCAGTAGCAGTAGGCATGCTGTGATGAATGTCAAGCTTTTCTGCTACCTAATGGTATTTGTAGATTGAAAATCCTGTAACAAAGAGTCCATCACGGCCATTGCTTTTGTGTAATTAAAGCTTCCATTCGAACTGTGATCTAGTGATGATCCAGAGTTCATCATTGGAATGGACTTACAATCTAAAAATACAAAAAAAGAGATTAGATGAGTATGTCTTTTGCAGTAGAAAAACGATCGCATGATAACTTCGAACATATTCAATAAAAATGTTTCCAACGGAATTGGAGTCCTTGTACTGGACAAGTAATTTATGATAGTAATTTATAAAAGTGCTGAACAACACAGACTAGCTATTTTTTCAGTTTGTCTTCTTTTTACCAAGGTCATATTGAAATAGACGAATTTTACTAAACTAAGTTATATCCCAATCCACTAGGGCTAGACATAAGTAATAAGTATTGATTCCAACTCTTCATGAGTTTAAAGCATAGAGTGATATCATCATACATCTACATATAGGCTATATAGAATCAAAAATTTCAATAAGTTTGTAATGGTGACATTATTTCATTCATTCTTAACACTGTATTTTACACCCAAATACAACGCACTAGATTTAAAAACATGTACCATTATTAGTTGTTCACTGCTCATCTGCTATATTTCTCCTATTTAGTTTCTCTGCTATTAGCTACTTGTGAGTTCCAATACTGTGATCATCTTCATTTTCAAGAAAATCAACATCCTGAATAGAAAGTTATTTTCAACAATATGTTTGTAATGGTGACATTCAGTGTTAACTCTAAGGAAATTATGAGTGCGAAAGTGCTTCGCAGTCGAAAAAAAAAGTGCGAAAGTGCTTTTTCTGATTTTAACTAGTTAGGTGCCCTAGCTTTCGTTTAAACTCATTTCAAACAGCATAGATACTCGAAAAAGCGCTCCTTCCGTTAATATTGTGAATTGAAGTCTTTCCGTTAACAAGTTTCGTTTAAACTCTTGTTAAAAACAAGCGAATTCATCAAAGGACACCTGATAAGCACACTTGTCGGGAATAAAAGTTTCAATCAACCACCAGCGTCAGTAACGAAGCGCACTCCCGCCTGAACAGACTAGCCTTGCAAACTTGTTTCTTCCATCTAACAGACACCGATTGATACATGCAGATATTAGTTACTACCGGCCATAGCTAGGGAGGGGGATCATTTGTACAAAACCCGGGCAAAATGACATCCCCATCACCAATATCGCTTTAGTATAACACGCTTCCTCATCCGAAAGAATATGCTTGAAAGTAGTCCGCCCTCTTCCCTTTTAAGAGATTGGTTAACGTCATGTTTCTCCGGCCAGTTTTTCTTTGGGAAATAACGCAAGATCACCATGAAAGTACCGCTGTTTTTATAGATAGAGTGACCTACTTTCTATCGAAGATTTTTTTTCCGAAATATTATGCAAGATCACTTTGAAATCCCATTCATGAGCTAGCTTGGCCTAATTTATATTATACTGTCTCACGGATTACGCTAAGACGTGTAATTTCCAAATATCGACTTGCATTGGTTTGCGTGCCAGTTAGTTCAAATCGGGTAGAAAACATCATATATTTGCAATTTTTTTTAGAAATGCCATGTACTTCCAGCATTTATAAATAACGCTGTCTCTAATGCTGCAGACCTAGTATGAAATATTCGCATCTCAACGCCACTTTCAATTACACTAATAGTAATGATGACACCAAAGAGTTTTCCTTTGCGAAGGTACAGGAAATACAACAGGGTGATTCTTGAAAAAAACATGAATGTAAAAAATAAACCCAAATAATTTTGAGTGTGACACGAAATACCAATCCATTTGATAAATCTTTTTTAGTCGACCACGTGAACGCCGAAATCCTGGAAATTAAAGTTGAAAGAGAAGTACGCATTCTCACATAAATAATCGCGATATATAATCGTTCATGTGCACAAATCTCACATGTAGCATCGGTTAGTTGTGCATGAAATGTAAAACTCTTATGTGTGTGCGTTTCAATTTCAATAAAATCAAATTCGTTTTTCCATGCACCATTACTTGTAATTTTAATATTAATTGCGTTCCGAGTTTGTAAAGTTTAGAAACCTCTTGTATATACCATTACCACTATTTTGATTGGCTAAAGAAAGATAACACGTAACCGCTTTTCGGCAACATGGTATTCGTTTTATATCTGCTTTGAACAGAGAAAAAAACATGTGCCCTCTCAGTCATCTGATCACAATCGAAAATCCGTATTCATTTTTTTCGCGATTTCGGCAATCGTTATTATTAAGGGTTTTCGTCGACTGAAAAATAAACATCGTTCTATCAATTATATATTTCAGGCCATGTTCTTTATATCGTGCCATAATTAGCAAATCTTTATTAAGCAACCCATGATTATAAAATAGCTTTGCTTATCATTTGTTGCTGAATCTTGTGCTATCGCTTGTCAATTATAGCAGAGACGTAAGGAACATATTTAAAAAAATTTTAAATTTTAAAATTAAACATATTAAAAATGTTTATAAAAAAATTAGCCACGTTATCAGCGCCAACTAACAGAAAATAACTTATCATAAATCACAATTAAAATTCAGTCGGTAATAAATGGCGCTAAGGTGATGCCATACAGAACAAAAAGATTTGGTCGCGAGAGTTACCTTAGATGACCGTATAACGATGTTGTTTTATAAGCGGAAGGTAGAACAATCAAATTTAATAAAAAATACGGGGGTTACGACACCCGTAACACATCAAGTTCATTAGACATCTCTAAAGACTTCTAAGTTGGTTACTCGATTACACTATACTATCAACACTTATTACACCTGTTCGAGTATTCCGGACAATTTCGAATTTGAAATAAACGAAAACTCAACATATCATAATTAATACACAAAAGTAAAATAAACATTCATCGAAAAAGTTATTATTCAAGAACAACAACATAATCGTATAATTCCGCCCAAACCCCGATGTTCGCAAGTGAGATGATAAATAAATACTTTCCGTGTATTCGATAAATCAACTTCTGCAAACAGTCTTGGTGCAAAATATTTCCATTCAGTGATATGCTTACAAATATTCTCTGCCTTAATATCATAACCTCGCCTATAGGACTGGGCATAATATTTGTATCGTTTCAATTTCATACTTTGCGCCAAAAAAGGCACCAACAAAGCTTCCTAATTTTAGAAGAGTCAAAATAAATAGACTATTCGAAATAAATATCCCAGATTTCAAACTCCGTATGTTGGCAGCATGAATTAGCCGTTTCATGTAGGAGCCGCACATACAATTGATTGTCGAAAATTAAAAGGTAAATTGACGTTCCGAGAGCCCACACATGGTATAACATGTACAGGCTATAACCAGAAAAAAATGACAATTCATAATCCTTTCAATGTGCTTTCAATTAGCTCGTTAGTGATCCCTCCCATCCTTGGCCAAGTAATGTTTCGAAAATGTGAACCTCCCACTCAGCCATGCATGGCGGGTGGAGTGTTGAAATCGTGAACAAGAGTATAACGTAAAATCAATCGTGAATTTCGATGTAACAACGCACACTGTCGCCGTCATGAATTGCGCCTAGGAACATCGGAAATGATTAAATTTGTGATATTTTGAGTATTTTTGCACCAATAATTAGGGCGTGATTATCAAAATGGTGAATTTGCAAATTCCGTAAATAAAATTGTAACATTTTAGCTAGAATTATCACCGGGCAGGGGCGCAGCCAGAATTTTTTTTAACGGGAGATTAGGGGGAAGTTAAAACATTACACCAAAACTGCAATTCGCGACGACGTAATGCGTTTATAACTAAAATGTAAGGTCGTTCACGGCGAAATTTCGCAGTTACGTGTAGCCCGCCTTTCTTTGCCCAACGGTCCGAAGTCCTATTTTTAAACATCGACCATTTATCCGTAGTCAGCGGGCATCCGCATCTAGAAATGAAACATTAAAAATCGCGAAAATTAAATTTGGAGAGATCTATAACTCGCAGATGTCAGTAGTGTCATCATGGTTTATATGTACAAAAACACGCTCGCATGTAGCGACGATCAAAATCATGAAAATGTGAAACTATTACTGCAGTAAATTTTTTGTCGCTGCGATCGTGTTGTTAAACTATATTAAAGCATGTTTTTATTCACTAGCAAATATTAATTCTCACGTAACGGCGGACATCGTAGTTTGGTTTTTATATTTCGGATAGAATTGTGAATTCACATCGGCGAAGATTTTAAAGACAACTATTAATGAGCGCATTCACAACGAAAATTGATTTTGTTCTGATTTTTATCTTCTGTGTAGGATTTGTATCAGTTCGTAAATTACCGTCCCGAGTTTAAGCGAACAATAATATTATTACTGACCCCGGGATGCGATATTTGTGAAGCAGATAGTTGACATTTCTATGCTTTTAATTTTGGATCGTGTCTGTGTTACTTTCGTATGAAATAATAATTGAAAAACTCCGCAAATTGGTTATCTCTTGAGTACTCAGTGTTAAGTATTTACGTAACTCAGCTTTGGGTTAAAACACTGATAGTAACTAAACACGTGAATAAATCGGCAATAATGGCATTTCGACATGGTCAAAATAATATTTCTCACCAATATCTCATGAAAGTTCCATAAAATACATTATTTACTTGTCTTACTTATCGACGTTTCTAAATTTACAAAAACGATGTTGACACGCTTTATACAAAATCGTTTCAAATTTATTGTTTCTACATGTTAGCGATAGCCGTCTGGTTAATTCTTACCCGTAACTCATTGTAAAGTAATGTTAATAAATTGTGTTTTGCTTTCCAATGCGCGGTTAACCGCGGTTAAATTCGTTCGTTTTCCGGAATTGCAATCAACAATTACACATTTTTTATTTATCATTATCAATACCGAATAAAAAAAGATAACATATCGTGAAGACGAAAAAAGTCGTTGAAACTTAAGTTGAATTAGTTGCAATTAGCGCCTGATTAGGCACCAGAGCACTCGAGCCCAATGTTTTTAGCATTAGTCGCATATGTAAAATATCCCTAAAGAAGTGCTGTTTATTAAAGTCATCTCGTCTTATGGCCACGCAGAAATGCCTTTATTGCCGAATTATTTAATCACAATTTTAAATCAACATTCAGGATTGGCACAATCTCAGATTTGCGAGGTTTATCTGTAAATTAATACAGACACCATAAAAAAATTATAAAAGTTATTTATCGTATTAAATATTTGCATTCCGGCATCGATAATAATAATACCATTCGCTTTAAATTGGGACAGTAAATTTACAAACGTTGATAGGTAATATCAAGTCAACGCAAATGTTTATTTTAGTTTTGAAATTTGTCGTTGATGCCCTTAACAGCTGTTGCCGATGTGAACGCACGCGTAAGCCTGGATTGCCAAACCCAGGATATAGTCGCCAAAACGATTGCGGTGACAAAAACAATTAGATATTATAACGAAATTAACCAGTAGACGTTCGTTCGACCGACGTTCCAGACTCCTGCTGTGCATAAAAAATATTCCTCATTCGTTAAAAATATTCAATTCGAAAAAATATTCGATTTTGCCCACCCCTACTCGCATATTAATGAGGAAATAGTTTAGATTGATTTTTGACCCTGGTCTGAGTCTGATTTATCGTGAATGACTAGACTAGCTAATACTGAATATCGCAAAATTCCGCGAAACGCCATTTGCTTTTAACATTCGTGGTTACAATAAAATGGATGTTAAATGTTAATACGACGTATGTATTTTGTCAATTTGGCGATTTTGCAAATCTGTGAGATGCTGCTAAAAGTTTCTTCTAATTTACCAAACAATGGCCCAAGTTTACATTCCATTACTAAACAATGTCGTGTCGAGTATCAGAAATTTCTGAATGGCTCCAGTAAATTCACTAAGAAGAGAACACAGAGCTGTCAAACCAGTACTAGAAAATCGTGTAATTTGGTCACAATTCATCGATGTCATTGACAGTCACATGACCACTCTCGTTTAGAGAAACGCACTGCCTTGCATTCGGACATCTGGTTTCAAAGACGCCGCCGAGCGTTTTCGCGGTCGAAGCGGAATCGGTGTGCTTGTATAATAATCATATTATAAACAAGAATTTTGCCATTAATGCAAAAGCTTTATCTTCCATGTCTTCACCACATAGGTTAGAATTCCGGTAAATATCGTTATGATATGCAGAATTGAGTTACAAAAGTACTAGTATGTTACTTAATTGTCAACTTGATACGCACACAAAAACATTTGTCAACTTTGAATTTTTATTCCATTCAAAATCGAAAAAAAGTGCTATTTCTCTTCAAAATCGGAAAAAAGTGCTATTTCGCGGTCCCTAAAAAAAGTTGCGAAAGTGCTTCGCAATTTTCGCAAAAAAGTGCGCTAATAGTGAACACTGGTGACATTATTTTATTCATTTTTGCACTGTATTTTACACCCAAATACAACGCACTAGATTTAAAAACATGTACCATTATTAGACTTGCATGTCGCCGGATGAGAACAGAAGGGGCCTAAGTCACATTTTTGGAAAATTCATCTTTTTTCAATATTTTGGGGGTTTGAGCCATGCTCTACAAGGTGGATGGTCTTGAAATCCTGAATTTCTAAATAATAAAAATTTCAGCTGGACCTAGGACTATAGTATTTTGTAGAAGTTAAGAACAGAATGGGCTTAAGTCCAGCTTAAATTTATATTATTGAGAAATTCAGGATTTCAAGACCACCACCTTGTAGAATGTAGAGCATGGCTCAAAACCCCAATGCTTAGAACCCCAAAATATTGAAAAAAAGAGTCCTAAGTTCCAGTATGATGAGCATGAACATCAGAAATGAAATGTCCGAAACTTACATCCCTAAAAAATTATTCAGTGCAACTTAGGCCTAAGTCACCTTGTTTTACTTTGCATCCCATACAAAAAATTCAGAAGTTGTTGAGAACAGAATGGGCCAAAATCCTTTATGGGGGTAAAAAAGCTGGAAGGAATTGAAGCTGAAGTGCCAAAAAATATCGATTACAAAGATATTCTCATCCACACTAAAATAACCAGAGCTCAGGTATTTACTAAGTGTGAATATTTAGGAATTCGAAAATAAAAAAATTAAAAATTGTTTTTTTGCATTTTACTTACTCAAAACTCGAAATTGTTACTTAGGCCTGTTCTGTTCTCATCCGGCGATATATTTATTGCATAAAATAACAAGACTCACCTATGAGTTGTTCACTGCAGCACTGCTCATCTGCTATATTTCTCTCATTTAGTTCCTCTGCTATTATCTACTTGTAAGTCCCAATACTGTGATCATCTTCATTTTCAAGAAAATCAACATCCTGGATAGAAAGTTACGTGCTCAGTAGGCTACTAACAAAATGTATGATAGCCTAGCTGTTAAAATTGTGTAATTCCAAGTTAAGCACAAAAGAAAAATAAATTGTTCCCGCTCGACTCACCAAACATGTTATAAACAGATAAAGAAGCCCAATACAGCAATAGCCTGTACAGAATCCCTTTGGCAAGTTTGGCAAATCAAGATTAGTTGAGATAGCTCCCGTTACTGGTACCGTACGAAGTTCAGAAGTTAGACTCGCAATATAAGTTACTGATAATGTTATATTTCTGTATTTATATAGTCTTATCGGGTCTCCTGAAGTATGCGCCGCAAGTACTTCTAGTTTTACATATGTAATTTCTAACCCCCACATACAGACATGACTACGTCATCCAAAAATTACATCACTGCGAAGTGGCAATGACGTAATACGGCCCTCAAAAGTATACGGATGGTTGCACAGATAATCATCCGAAGTTGAGCAAGCTAGCCTATTTCTTGTCGTCGGAACGATATCGATACAACGATAAAAGAAATATCGTTGCACAGATGCCATTTCGGACGATCGTAACTATACTTTGGAAATCTCTATGACGCGATGGTGATGCAGTGATGTAGTTTCCGGATGACGTAGTCATGTGGGGGTTAGAAATTAGATATTCAAAAATTGTCAAGACAGGCCAACTATAAGTACCTGCGGCGCGTACTTCAGGACACCCATCTTATCTAGGCCTAGTACTGGTGGCTGACGGACAACTCGACTACACGGACAACTCACCAGAGACAACTCGACTACGTAGAGGCCTGGTGAGTTGTCCGTCAAAAGACGTCGAAAGACGGACAACTCACCAGGCCTCTAGGTAGTCGAGTTGTCCGTGTAGTCGAGTTGTCCGTCTCCCGTACTGGTCACTTAACGTTAGCAAACAAAGCTTGACAAGTTCTGAAGTTTGGCAAATCAAAAGTATCTGGGCTAGTTGAGATAGAATACCGTAGCTCACGTTACTTGTACGAAGTTCAGAATTTACGACTCACGATATAAGTTACTGATAACGTTAAATTTCTGTATTTACCGGTTCCGTTATAGGCTACCGTATAGCCTAGTCTTATCTAGTACTGGTCACTTGACATTAGCAAACAAAGCTTTGGTTTGCTTGACTGGCAACGTTAGCTGAACGCAATCTGAATCCACATGAACACTGTAGGCTAATAGTAGAAGTGGATTGACTGATCGATTGTTTAATTATGGCTAGATTAAGGTACGGTACCGTACCGGTACTATAATTTCGCGTTTGTTTATCAGCATCAACTTAATAATTCGAAATCTTACCTTTACCAGCAAGCTTAAACCTCCTGACCTCTCCACACAATGTAACGTTAAGTTTTCCACATATTGTAGCTTGAGACAAGTTAAACACAAACTGTGCCCACCCACTTATTCTATCTATTGAAAATTAGAGTTGTTTACCGCAGAGAGTCTTTTATGCTTTTATGAGTTTCATCGAATCCTCGGCAGAGTGATAAGTCAAGTCACCGCGCATAAAAATATTCGAAACGATTTCAGCCAATAGCGTCCAGCCTTCTCACATCGTCACAGTCACCTCGATATCACGTGACATGACGCGTTCATGCATTTCCACCAAGTTTAGTGGAGAAAGGGTTCGGTAACACACCCTGTGAATGCATTAGCACGGTGTATATAAAATTATGCAACGAAATAAGGCGGAAAATTTATCACCACACCCCAATGGAGGGGTGGAAATGGCAAATATCCTCTTTTTCTGTTAAGAGTGTATGGTTGGGGTTAAGGCCGAAGATGAGTTCATTTCATGTATATCAGGCCAATACTGCTCAAATGGGAAGGATGTGCGACTTTATTCATGGAAAATGATCTGATACTGAAGGTGATTCCATTCGACATTTTGTCCGATACTAATACCTCCTAAAAGGGAAATATGAAGCAAGGTTGCGTGACTTTTTTCGCACGAAGGAGGAATGATGCAAGATGGGTGAATTTGACTTGAAAATTTACTCGAACACATGGAATTCCATTCAATACCATTACTTTTGCCCAGTGCTGTGAAAACGTATTTATAACCCACCGGCATCGTTAGCCAAAATTCTGAGTTCTCAAGTTTAATATAGAAAGTTTGCATACGATACAACTTTTATTTTTGTTTGTTCAGCTGGAAAATCTATTGTAATTTGCTAAAATAAGACAAAATTTGGTCATCAAAATTAGATTTTCGGCGCGAGAGTCGGTAGTCGGAATCAAAATCTCCATCAACTCGGTGTCAAGGGTGTGGAATCGTTCGTAAATTTTCGCGACTCCGCAGTACTGAGCAACAGTCATTACAAAAATGGCGGGAATATTTTTCCAAAAAAAAAAAAAACGCATCTCTCGAGCGCCATCTGGCGGATCACACGGCGAAATCTGAATGATCTAGAATCGCAATCCGTGTGACGTCACCGACGCCTCGGGTATATCTAATTACAAGAAAGCATAATTTTTTAAATCACGCTTCCCACACATATATAATCGTTTACGATTTGATGCTACAGGGCACGATTATCAATGGATTCATCATACACGGTGGTTGAGAAATCTTTTTATTAAAAACAACTAAATCTTGATTGACGTTATTTAAGTTAGCTGATGACCAATAAGTTGTATTTAGCGGCTTTCGTTCTCGGTAGATTAATTCGGAATTTATACAAAAATAAGATGGTTTAAAATTTGCGGAAAAACAAGTTGTTTTTCGCTTTAACGTATTTTTCTCTGATAATTAAAATAAAAAATAAAAGAGATAGGAAAAAAATTCTGTAAATCTGTACAATCTATGACAGCTACGACCAGGCTTTGAATATTTTCACTAATTATTATTCAATGTTCAAAAATGATTCATCCATCCATTCTCATATTTATCTCGGGGAGGGGAAAACCGATAAGACGGCTTCTCGTTCGGTTACAAGTCCATTTCGGTATGGAAATAATTAATGGAAATTTTAAATTGAAGATTCATATTGTTCGTTTCGTTTCCTATGCATACACTAATTAACGGATATAAAAGAATTATACATCAATTCTCGTATTTATCCTGGAAGAGAAGAAAGCCAATGGGTCATCTTAATCATTTTTGTTTTGCAGATGCAAGAACTTGATGACTATATCATAACACCCTTTCTGAAGAAAGAACTGAAGAATCAATCAATTAATAGAGCGAATCCGACGGTTTCAAATGCGAGCAAAATTTTTAAAACGAATTTTCTCCGATGTACCATCATCAAAATTAAGCTTCCATGAAGTAGGGCAACCTTTATAAGATTAGTTTAATGTTTTCTGTTATTGAGTCAAATTCCTAACGAAGCAAATCGGGGTCTTTGTGCCCAGGTTTAAGGCATCAATATCGAGTTACTAATTCGAGATAACCCGCGAAAATAACCCGCTTTTTTATACGCTTTCCACCCAGTACAAGCATTTTACTGCCATGCAAGAAGCTGTTTTGTTTTATAGGACAAAATTTTCCCGATTTCGATTTGCCTACTTGAATTATTATTACACCCTGCGTGAGACGGTGATGATGAGATTTGCACCAGAGATTCTTAGGCCAAGTCCAACACTTCAACCATTTTCAATTCACTCAAATAATCGTTCGTTTTCTTCTTTGGAATTGCATTGGAATTTATGAAGTGTAGTTTGTTTAATATAAGTTTCATATATGGTGAGAGGTCTCAGAGTTTTCCAGATAAAATTATTCACAGCAATACTTGTCCGTATGATGATGTACGAGCGTACTACGATTCTATTTTCCATGTCACTGATTATCGTCGCCTTATTATTTGTATGTTAAAGGAAACGTTGGTCTTACCTCGATTTTTCTCACTGCTGCTTCTTCGACCATTTACCCCAGAATGTGTTTCATTTAGTTGTGACAGTCGGTTGTTATTGGTGTCACCGTTCTGCTTCGCGTACTGATTGGGTTCCCCTGAAAAACATAAATGAAGGTGATGAATAAACAACTTGGGAATTTCTTCAATCACGTTACTAGGGATGCCTGTGAAAGAGAATTCAGATTGTTCCAGTGGTAAAACACCGCTTTGTACTGGTGTCTTACACATGTCGGGTAAACTTATTCAATTTTAGAATGAATATTTGTACCAATTTGCTATACTTATCTAACTGTTCCGAGTTAGGATAGTATATTTTTGTGGCAAATGGGTGAAGTAAGCATATAAAATAGAATTTATGCCATGTTCTGGGTTTGTATATATACTTTGTGAGAAGGTTGAAAGTATTCATGTGAAGTGATGGGACACTGTATTTCCAAGATCTCCCCACCCCCACACTTAACCATGATGTAACAAGGAATATCCCAATTTCTAAGCAACTGCTTGCACATTGCTTTAACCGAAGTGAATGTGTGGAAAAATCCCATGTAAATTCAATCCGAGTGTAACACAATTTCATAATAATACATTATTGTTTTGTTCGTGAATCCTGATGGATATTTGTAGGCGTTTTGATTGCATGGAATTTCGCAATATTATGAAATCAAAACAAGGCTCCGTTTCAGAAAATATCAGAAAAATTACAATTTCAACTCCCAAAACCTCAACAATAACATATTGAGCTTAAAAATAGCTTACAAGGTGTGACGGGAATCATCAGTTTATTATGATTTAGATTTTAGTATTTGATAAGTAAGTTGGCTTATAACCAAATCTACTATTAATATCATTCAGTGAAAATAAAACGATGCTCTATATATAGGTACAATCATCCGACTGTATATAGCAATCAGACTTTTTAAAATCCTACGATTTTTTATTTTAATAAAATACTACAATTGCGAATCAGAATCAACCCAAATGACATACAAGCTATAGTACATTCGATAAGCTAGATTAATTCAACTGGCGTGCATGTGATTGCAATGTCCATGGAGTATATCGTATAATTATAAAAGGTAATGGGCAATGTCGTATCCGTGGCGTTTCAAAACTAGGGGAGTGGTGTCCGATTCTTGTGACAGGTGTTACTGTCATTTACATACATTTATCTTTTTTATACAAGGTCCACAGATAAGAGCAGATAACGTTTCATGTATTATACTTGACTGGTAATATTTAGATAAAAGATGAAGCGATGCACCCAGCCTAAGATTGTTTATATTAAGGATGGGCTTGCTTGTCAATATATGTCTGTTGAGGGCACTTGAAAGCCACAAGAATAACACCGTACTTCTGTAATGATGGATTCGCGTCAGGGCAAAATAAGCAATGGTTATATATTCATATTTAAACACGGTAGGGCTGGTAAATAATGAGACAGAAACGTTGACTGTAGTTAATTTAAGTATAAAAACAATGGCGAGCTGTGGATACATAGTAATGGATAAAAAACACCGGGTAACAGTATAATGCAAAACATGTTGTTTCAAATAACTGCAAATGTTGGTATTACATTTCATCCTTATTCCCCTACAGAGGTCTACTCAAATAGCTAAAAAGATAACTAAATTATTGAACATGATCATAGCTGTTGTTCGCCGCTTTTTTACAATGTATGTATTGTTTTCATCGACTTCCTACCTCTGTATCCCGGGAAATCATTCTGTGGATTTCCCTGTTGCATATATGAATTCTCCGAAAGCATATCCAAGGGGAGCCCGTATCCATTTTGATGTTTGCTGTACCCCACTGGGCTTGGGATCGTGTAGTTTTCGTCTGGAAGGGTAGGGGGCATTTGCTGTGGTGCCGGTTTGTAGGTAGGGTACAATTTGGCATATATACTATCAATAGCTTTAGCAGGCATCATCGCGAACTTCGAAAAGTCAAACGAAGGCGGTTTTCCATTCGGTGGGGCCGCTGGTGCGCTAGTTGGCGGTACCTGTTGCGGATATGGGTTAGTTGGGTAAGACGTGGTGTCCATAGGGCGTTGATTAAAAGGGTATTGATGCCCAAATTCAGATTTAATGTGTGGGGCACTGTATTGTGGTTCCATTGCTCCATTATGGCTTTGCATCGGATTCCCATATCCACCAGACATATGGTGGGCTGCTCCATTGATCGGCATACTCTGTGCTGCAGTATATGGATTCATTTTTGGCACGTTGGATTGAGGCATGATGCCGTGTGGTATGTGGCTATATTGCATCATCGCCTCCTCGTTACTAGGCCTTGGCGTGGTATATTGGCCTCCATTTTGCGGCATGCCATACGTCGCATTCATGGTTGTTCCGCCACCGCCGATTTCCAATGACCTCAAGTCTATGACGTCAGGATCAAGACAATGCGTCATAATGGTATTGAGAGAATGTGTGTTTGGCAAGAATAATAGCTTTAGAAAACTAGGATCGGAAATAGAATAAAAGACAATTTTGAACAAATGGATGCATGATATACAATTACATTTATCCGAGTAGCAAATGCAAAATGTGTTCCTTCTTTTTGTATTTCATATTACCATCAAATTTGAACGAAAGCAAAACCTGACGACAAAATGAGCCAGATTTAATAATTCAGTGGGTAATACAGTGGGTAACACACTGATAAGATAATCTAAGAGACGACTACCGTATCGATAAAAACATATTTGAATTACGCCACTTTAAAGGGATTTCACAATTTATAAAATTATTGGTTTGTCTTGACAAGGCTATGAAATTCACTCCATAGCTTATAGAAAGTCTTTTTTTCGCCACCAAAACATACAATAATAGTTTTATAGCAGTCACACTTAAACGTAATTTTGTCAAGAAACAAATTTAAGTGGTATACAACTTTCATTTTGGCACATGATTAAGTATATTGAGAAAAGATTTAGTCGCACCATATTACAAATAGGATTAAGAAAGTGTGTGTACCAATATGGAAGTAACTAAATTTGTTCGCCTACTTTACATCAAGTTGTGTAAAGGGACTGAAACCTATGGGCAATTGGTATATTCACTTGACCAACACAAACAGTCCCGAACTCGTAATAGAACCAAAATAAGGAAAATCAAAATAAAATTATGGCCTAACTCAGAATAAAATTATGGCCAAACCTAACCTGGTACGGGAGTACCTCAGAGAACCAATATGTTCAATTTAAATTATTTTTATTCAAAGTAAACGGTAGACAAGTACTTATCTACGGACATCACAACTTGAAGTTAATAATCAAAGCAATATCCAAATCTGACATGGTTAATCGAGTCTACGTCTGAGGAAGGAAATTAAGAATAATTGCTCAGTTTATTTAAACAATGGAAACAGGATCGAAATTTCCGCTTTATAATGATCGAGGGAAATTGAGGCGAAAATTTCAATAATCGGCAACAAAATGGGAATTTAGCAATATCCTATTACGGGTGGTAATTTAATAATGCATGGACGTCATGACTAAAACTTGTAAAAATATTTTTTTTTCTTCCGTTTTTTTTATACCATGTATAAATCTGAGGCCCTGTGCATTCAAAACATAACATATTCCTAAACTGTCGCTTTATTATGGTATACGGGTATACAGTAACTCAAAACTAAGATACTGCTATGCTGTAAGCTTAGAAAGTTGAAAATTTCATTCAAGTCCGCTAAACTACCGTATTGATCACGAAAACCTCGTCTTTTCAATTGAATAGTAAACCTTGCTACACAGACCCACATGAGCTTTGTTAACATGCAAACTGTCAGTCAATAAAACAACCATCGACGATCGCTAGCTGTAGTGTTACGTACACTTAAATGTCTGTAAGCGTAATGGTGACGCTTCAACACACCCACGTGACCAAGAGCCTTATTTTGTTTTTGTTAGCAAATCAGGAATGAGTGATGACCATTGTTCGTCAGTAGGTCAAATACCCATCAACATAATTTTGTTCCAAAAGCGAATAATGGCGGAATCTCTCTGAAGAGCTATTTACTGGCGTGTGAACGCATACCCCCTAAGAAAATAGCCAATCGTGATATGGTGATAATGTTGGAGCGTTCTGAAGGGCCGCATTGCTCACACTCAATGGGCATGTTAGCATTAAACGCGTGTAAGTTACAAATACAAGTGACGTAATATTTCCATAATATTCAATTCGGGGTCGGAACAGTAAAGCATGCCTATGGTGAAATCTTAATTAAAAATCTTGCTTCATTTAACTTTTTATTACGTTGGAGATGATGAAAAATATAAACACATTATTACTTCTTAATTTACACTATTACACTGTTTGTCCAGTTTCGATTCCACTTTCGCGCTAATTATCATCAATGCCACTGGACGCCAGACGCCATTGGGTCCAGTCACGGATATGTCGTCATGTAAACAATTCCAAAAATCATGTTTTTGAGTTAAATACATGAATTTTGTTTCGTGAAAAATACAGAAAACCAATAATAAACAGCTTTACTTAAAACTTGAACAGATCGTGAAATGACGCATAGAATGTCCAGTCAGATATCTGGACAAACGCTTAGTATTTTTCGATGTCTAAAAATTACGAATACGAAGTTTTTTTAAGTAGGGAATGGTCACGGACTGGCGACAACGATTACACTATTGAGAGATGGACTTATCATACTTGGCCAAATTAAGATATGTATATAAATCAAGCATAATTTTGGATAAATTTTAAAAGTAGGAGCCTGTGAATGCTTTGTAAGCAAGTAATGAGTCATTATAGACGAGGTTTTTGTTTTTCTAATCGTAGAAACGGAATACGATATCGTTTTGGGAAACGACAATAAAACTTAGAAATAAATAAGTAGGATTAACAAAGGATTGGGGTAAATACCGAAAGAAAAATCTAGTCATAAAGACGGTACCGGACAACTATCATAAAATAAAATAAATATCCAAATGGCCGGCGTATTCTAATGGTCTCTTAATTTTGGATTTATTCCAATAATCCAAATGGAATTTATTTAAAAGCAATTTTTTTTTATTTTTTTATAAAATTATGTATAAATTATGATTTTGCAACGAAAATGACAAATTTTACATAAAACAACA